AGGTTCACACATACATATTTCAATATCTCTGGATTTAACACCTGCCAAGCCTGCAAAATGAAAGTTTGTATAAGATCTGCTTAGATGCCAAATATGAACATGTTCTCTTGGACCTCAATTGATGTCTTATAACTGATTTTAGAGTCACGTAGCTCTAGACCAAGACCCCTCTCTAATCGTCACTGGATTTTAAGCGATGTTCCACGTTCATGTAGAAAGCACATACATCTTTCTCAGTAAACTTAGTACAAGCACTGTCGATGCCTGCTTGATTTTCACTACCTATTTGGATGGAGCTTCAAAGTAGATCTGATGGATCTGCAAGACTCAGGGCTGTTTGACTTTTTATGCTGTGATTTAGCTCTTGCCTTGGGGATGCAAAAAAATCAATAGCTATTTGAGGTTAAACCTAAGCAGCTCCATGTCCTCTGGTAGCCTGTATTGCCTTTAAAGTAAATACTATGTAGGGTAGGAAAAACTCTGACAAAAATAGTGCACCGAGCTTGACCCTGAGATACATTTTTGGTGCAGACTTAAAGAAGAACTCCAGGCATATTAAACATTAACCCTTACAGTGGGGCTACTCCTCAATGCAAGGGTTAAGTATTAATTTTGGTTTACAGTCTAGAATAAAAAAATATATACTCACCCAGTCCCGTCTGGCTGCTCGACCAGCTTATTCATCCCCCGGTTCCAGCCGTCCAATGACCTTGTACGTCCTCATGTCTATTCACTTCCATTGGAGTGAGGGTGCCAAGGAATATTCCACAGCTGAAGCAGAATGGGACAGAGGTGAGTGGTCACCACCTTGGAACCTAGGATTGAGTGAGTATATAGTCTGTATTTTAGACTCTAGACCAAAATAAGCAGTTAACCCCTTCAGTATGAGGGTAGTCCCACTGCAAGGGTTAATTTTTACTATGCCTAGAGTTCTTCTTTAAGGAAAAATGGAGAATGTGAGTTTTATAGGTTGTCAGGGGAGAAAAGTGGCGCTGTAGGTTTTAAGTAGTGAGAGAGATTAATATTGTAGGGCATACTGTGCCACAAGCAGTGAATGCTTGTATTAACAATTTGTTTTCACAGCGCAGCCTGAAATAGCACTCATCCCATTATTTCTGATAAGTGTTTTCACAATTGACTATTTATTATTTGTATTTTCCCCAACAAATTTATATAGGTAAAAAAAAAAGAATTTAAATTCAGGAGGCTTACACAATATTTGCTTTTTGTGCACAGAAAGTGCCAATCATTCAACCATTAGCTGTCACTGTAAAGTAGGTTTCTAACAGGGGGTCCATCTAAATCAGCCAACAAAGAATTAAAATTGTCCGTCCGTTTTTTTACTACGGGCGGACGGCAAGAGGTTAAACTTGCCAATAAAACCAACCATATGCTGCAAATAATGGCAAACTGATGGTTGAGTGGTAATAATTGGCCCCATGCTAGTGTTTCTTCAGCTCTCACTGGCTTCACAGTGTAAGTAAGAAGTAGAAAATGAAAAATGGAAGAAACTCATATGAATGTCTTTATAACTCATTTGTGTTTGGAGACACGGTGAATACTTTTAAAAGGCCAAGATTCATATATCGGTTTTCATGCTTAAGCTTTTTAGTGATAACATATTTAATCCCAGCCCATCATTTCATATAGTATTATAAAGGTACACTTTTTGTAAGTGCGTATAACATATCAAACCAAATATGTATCAAATTACAAAACCTACTTTGTTGTAAGTGATAGCCAGGATTTGGTTGTAATTGGAAATCCCCAGACATCCAAAGAAACTGCACACCACAGCGCTCAGCTGACCCCAGTTCAAAAATTCTTCCACATCAGTATGTCGGAAGAAAGGCTGCCATCCTTCAGGCCACTGGGAAGTATCCTCACAAGATATGTAAAACAAGTAAAAACAGACAGCGCCTTCTCTTCGTGTAATCACATTTTATTAAATCGAGTAAAAATATATGTCATAAAATACTACTCACATGTTAGCATATGGAATGAAAATAGAGATGCAATGCGAGTCCCAGAAAAGACCAACTAGCTGGCACATTTTGGGGGAAAGATTCCCCCTTCCTCAGAGCTAGTATGTTGTAAAATCATACAGATATATATACTGGGTATAGATCATGTGACATCACCACAGAGCCAATCCGCAACATCAGTCTGTTCGCCTATCAGTAGCATCAAGCTGTTAACCAGCTGTTAAATGGAGAGGTTGCTAAATGCAGGGAAAGACATGCCCACGAAATGCAGGGAAAGACATGCCCACGAAAAAACATCTGCGGGAGGGGGGGTGGAAGTGCATTGAAGTCAATGGCACCGCAGCCACGCCCCCAGTGCAATCGCCGCACCAGGAATGCAGGCACATTAGTGCCTGCATTCCGGTCCAGTGCGATCTGCAAAAATGCTGCATTTTTGCAGATCGCTCTGGACCGGAACACAGGCATTAATGTGACTGCGTTACGGGAGCGGGCGATCACACTGAGGGCGTGGCTGCGGTGCCATTGACTTCAATGCACTGCCACCCCCCCTCCCGCAGATGTTTTTTCGTTGGTAGATCTCATTGAGCTCGTCATTTGAAAAGTAGAACTCCAGACGAAAAATTGTGGGCGCCCCTGTTCTACAGCATCTAATGACTTCAATGCACCACCACGCCCTCTCCCGCAGGGAACCGGCCGGCTTGTGTTCCAATGCGTTCTAGAGGCCGAACACTCTGGAACGCAAACTTTGTGGTGTGAACCGGCCCTCTCTTCTCTCTCTCTCTCTCCCCTGTTTCTATCTGCTGTCTCTTCTCTCACTTTCTGTGCTGTCTTTATTCTCTCTCTGCTGTCTCTTCTCTCACTTTCTCTGCTGTCTCTCTCCTGTCTGTCTTTTCTTACCTTTACTGCAGCAGCTTCCCAAGTCTCCTCTCCTTCCCATCTGCGGCGTCTGACACATTCAGCCACACAAGCACCGCGGGAGGACAGGACACAGTTCAGTGAGCCGATTGCGATCTACCTGTTTTCGCTTTGCGATCTACTGGTAGATTGCGATCTACCTAATAGGCACCCCTGCTGTAGAAAGTCAAATAGAGCCCATCTTTTCCTTCCTGGGGGGCCTCCAGGAGCTGGGAGGGATGTCACGTCCCACTACATCACTACACCAACACCCCACTCTGGCTGCTTTGGTTGCAAAAAGTCTAGGGACAGCAATACTGTGTGTGTATGTATGTATATATATTGTGAGGGTGTTAGCTCGGCAGCGGGTGTGTTTGACTTCCGGGATGAGTTCACTACACAGAAAATAGGCACAGCAAGCAACGATTTCCATCCTCTTTTCTCGCCCTGGACCCAAAGGAAAATGCTACGGAGAGTAGAGTTATGTCAATAAGCACCACAGTTCTTCGCAACATTTAGGATCTGCATACTAAATACTTACTAAATAGAATTGGTTGAAGTGGGCCTGTGACATCACTGGGCTACACCTAAGACAACTATAAATAAGATAAGTATAAATAATTTTTATTTATGTTTGTGGGAGTGATAATGTAGGGAAGGGGGGGTGGCGAGTCCAGAGTGGGGTGGAGTTGAAAGAATGGAATTGTTCTGATCACTTTAGTGTGGACCTCCTGTTGATATGCCCATGTCATATTGGATATGGTTTGTGTGCCATATACCCCGTCTATCAATCTAATCTTAGATGTTCCCAGAACATCAGGTCCTAGATTTTTTTATTTTTATCCACTTCTTGTGACCATTTATGTCTTTCTCTGCCTTGTAGTTTTTTTATTTTTCATGTATTTTATTGTTCATGTACACTAGGGATACTATATTTGCCAGTTTGTGGCAGAGTTTTATAAATGTATAATAACAAAGGAAGGCTATAAGTATATGACACTATCTGTTTTATATAAACTGAGGAGTAGGAAATGTCTTTATTGTCCAGTGCAGCCAGTTTTGCATTTCAGCTGCCATTTTTCTGCTGTGAGGGAGGATCATTGCCGTACTTATTTTGTACTTTTAGTTATTGGCAGGGTTTTATATTACCATGCAAGGAATGAGGAGTTGCTTATGAGTTGGAAACTATTTTACCTTTTTGGCACACCAGAAAAGCATTGCCTTGGATGTAAATAATGTAAGCAAAGATAAATAGTACAATACCAGCTCTGAACAACTCGGCAATTATTGCCTTACTGTAGACAGTAGTTCATTACATTCTAGAGAAGGTTAGGATTCCCGGCAGATGAGCTGAGCGAGATCATATAATTGTATTTTAGAGCTGTCAGTGAACGTGGCTACCCAGGATCTGAGATGTGAATAAAATGTTTCCTTTTTCAGTGCTTACTAGAAAATAATGTGTATTTTGACAACTTTCTACATTGTTTTATATCTTTAACTGTTACAAAGATACCTCAAGCCAATACTAACACATAGTGGACCTCCTTTGACAAGCACATTACCTCAGTGGTGCAATTCCATCGGTCGAGTGCTGACCAGTCCAAAGGCTTATGCAGTAAGTAATGTGAATGTCTGCAAACTAAAAAATGAATTGGTCTCTTATCAAAATGACTAATAAATTGTCTGTGTTGCCCATAATAACCCGAATCTTCCTTCTTTTTTTTTTGTTAAAGTGGACTTAAACTCTGGGAGCTGTGCCAAAAAAAGGCAAGCAGAGAGCAAAAGACTAGTAATCAGTATTGTCCGTAGGCTCCCTGCACTTGATCCTTTCCCCATTAATTGCTTACCATGCTATGCACTGTGTCTCTATGTGGAGGTGGCCATATTGGTAGGGGAAAAAAGGCTTTTCTTCCTCATGTCAGATGCAAATTCCTCTCCAGCAAGCAACACAGAACTCACCAGAACGCACTCTAAATCCCATGAGACTAGCAGTCTGAGATCTCATACTGCAGATATACAGCTATGAGACTGTGTCTTTAGTAGTTAAACACAAAAGGTACATTTTTCATGGTAGTGTGTGCATGCTTGCTAATATAAGATAGCAAATAATCAGTTTGTGAGTTCAAGTCTACTTTCTTTTTAATAATTTTTTTTATTTACAGTTATTGATTAACCAGAGGTAGTATAAGAGTTTCATAGTACAACCAATTCAACTGTATTTAAAACAAGCCTAATGAGGCACATAACCATCTTAGCAGTGCAAAAGAAATATTCTGTTTTATTAGCCAAAGTATAAGCTCAGAGCAACAGTTGGGAAGCAAAGGAGCAGGGTAGTAGGTGTGGCGAGTACCTAGGGGGTATAAGAAAAATGAGGGGGAAAAAAGTAAAGGGGGGTTAGGGAAGAAGTTTGAGGGGGGAGTGGATGAGGTAGGAGGGGTAATATAAAGGGGAGGGAGGCTTATTGGGGTTGGGTCAAGACCACATAGGTCAAGGAATGATGGATTCGAATTGTGAGGAGAGAGCAATCAAATTCTGTAGTAAGTAGTGTGTGATTCAGGGTTCCCAAATTTTATGAAGTTTAGGTAGCCATTTTCTCGAAGGTTATGCAAAGATTGACACAAGATTTAAGTTCCTTGAAAGGAATGACTTGGTTTTTCCATTACATAGTAGTAAAGACATGGTAAACAACACTATGATTTGGTGCAGTCCACTGCTTCTTTATTTAAAAGAGCTTCTACTGGGTTTTTCAGATTGGTATATTTAAAAGAGTGTAGACTACTTGGTAAGTACGGGACCAGAAACATTTACTCTTTGGACAATCCTACCTTATGTGTCAGAACGTGCCCTTGACACTGTGATCCCTGAAACACTGAAAGAGGTAGCCAAGGATAGCATGTGTAGTTTTCATATAATTGGTTTCAGTTGCAAGAACTTTGATCAAGGTTATTGCAGTAATAAGCCAAATGTCTTGCCAGTCCTCTTGAGAAATAGGTGTCCCCAGGAAGTTTTTTTATTCTTATTCTTTGCACTGAAGGAAAGTAGGAAGATAGTAATTGTGGGTATATAGTGGAAATATGGCGGGGGGGGGGGGGTGGGGCCTTACAACAAATCTGTTCAAATTAGGTTTATGTTTGAAAAAAGACATATAACGTTTTATTTGCACATACTGAAAAACGTACACTGAGGTTGTAGCATGTGAGCCATAAGTCCCAGTCACCATTTTAAAACTGCACTGGCATAGTGGCAACTGTTGTTGTTGCAATGATGTTTAGCAATGGCTTCTGTCTGCACTACAACATTTTTTGTACAGTTGTAATAAAAAAGTGTGGGAAAAAAATCTACTGTCATTATTAACAACGTGCCAGTTAGGTCAAACTATATTTATATACTCCACCTTGTAAATCAGCTGAGTTCAGTTTCAATTTTAAACCTGGAGAGTCAGTTTGCTTATGTCTTATGGATTTCTGTTGTCCAGTGTTTGGAATTTGGATGAATTTTATAGCAGATGGATTGGAGTTGTATGGAGTTCCAGTAACTTCCCCATAAATACTGCTTATATTTCTCGGTGGCCCCAGCTTCTATCCACTGGACACTCATGCGTTCATCCTTCACTCTGAGTTTTTTGTTTACTCGCACTGAGAATACAACAGGGTTCCGATTTTCCTTTGTTAGGTCTAAATCATTGAGTGTTTTGGATATATAAGCCATTGGAATGTGCTATACCACACTGGCAATAAGCCTACACTTATCAGTTTTGAGTAAAATCAAGCTTTACTTCATGCATACTGTAAGTCAGACATACAGTATGTCAGTTTGATTACGAATAGTTCATTTAATAGGAATAATAAACAATCTTTTTAGATTCTGTTTATTTTGCTGTCTATTTCTAAAATGTATGAAATTGTGTTTAAACAGGAGGGGCTAAAAGAAGAGGATGCGGACTGCATTGTTAACCATGATGAACTGACAGCAGCTTATGAAGACATAGAGTCGTCATCCAGTATGCCTCACTCTGCACAGCAAGGCAGTGAACAGCCAAGTCCTGTACCAGCAGAGGTCAGAGATAATGTACAAGACGGGGACCTGGGACTTGGGGGATTTGAATTTGCACAGGATAGAACGTCCCATCAAGCTCACATAGAATTCCCAGGAGGGAACATACGGATCTAATGATATTTTTCCTATTTAAGGAAGCACATTATCTTTCTATGAGCAGAAAATCTGTTTAGTATTAAAGGAAACCTGTTCTGTGGATATATAGGGGTTGCATTGCTCACTTCTCTTTCTGAAAACATTATTTCTCTGGCTTCAGTACTTTGAGTCTATGTCCAGGAACAAATGAACATATGAGGAGTTCTGACTGTATGCTAACTTTACTGATTTGCATGCATTTTATGGGACAAAGGATTCCAACCAGAGACAGCCAGGCAATTAGTATCATCAGAATGAAGTTGCAATTGCACCCCCTATATTTCTTTCAGTACACAAGAAGATATCCTGTTACTAATACACAATAACAAATGCCATTTTGTAGGCCAAACCAGCATTTAAAGCTTTGTAAACATTCACTTCTTTAGGAAATATTGGCATGATTGACACCATGTTTATGTTTTGTTAAGAGAGAACTCCAGGCTCATACAGAATGTACATTCTTTATTAGAATCAAACCAAACGCAAATGTATATAATTATACCAACTTTACATTCTTATTACTCCAGCGAAATTATATATTACATCTGAGAATCCCCCTATTTAGATTGCATTCAGTTTCAAACACCAAGTCAGTCACACATTTGGGCAGCCAGGACATTGGACACAGCCAGCTTAATCAGGAGTAGCTGATTAGTTGCATCATCTGTTGGTACACCTGGCTGCTGTCTAGAGGCCTCGTTGTACCTGAATTATTTCCTTTTTCATATTAATAACATGCTGAATGAGAGGAACAGCTGCAGAGGGGAGAAAGGAGCAGAGGGAAATTACAATTTTAGGCTTGCAAAATATGGTGTTTAGTTTTACCCTATAACCATAGAATGTAAATATTTCTATTGGCGTTCTTTTTACTTATAAACATTACCTTAGATTCTCAGGTAACTCCAGTGATGCTGCTGGTTTCCAAAAAATGTCCAGTAGGCTTTCTTATGACTTCTTCTATCAAGTGCCTGTGAATGTATATGCTGCTTTTGCATGGACATTTATTCAGCTCCCATATAAGTGCCTCAGAAAAGTGCCTTGGAAATGTCATTGGTTTCCAGTGAATGAACTGGCTGTGGTGTTTCTTTTTGGATGCAGAATAATGGCACATGCTGTACAATTAAAAAAGAAAGAAATATTTCTAAACAACTCTGTTCATTACATTTTGGATGGAATTTAATTGGGCAGGTTGCTTTCAAAATTAAAATGTGTGGCCTTCATTTTAAAATACAGCACAGAGAGAAGTGCTTGAGCATCTTGTCTTTCTGCTCACATTGCTGCTTCCTTTGTGCTGGATAATTTTATACTGAAAGGAAACCTATACTGACAGTAACATGGAGGCTGTCATTTCTGACTTCTCCTTTCATGATGCTAGTTGCCTGGCTATCATACCGATCTTCTCCCTGCAATACTTTGTTAGAGATCTGAAGCAAGGAGCTGTGACTTTTCCATGACTTGCATGATATGCATACTTTTAGGTTAGTGATATCTAAAGTACTGAAAGTGCTGAGTTGTCTTAATGCACAGCATACATACTTGAACATCATGGCAAACTTACCACTTATTTTGCCTCCAGCAATAACAGCCCCGTGCTCTCCTTCGCTGCTATTATCTTTTCAGAATCTTCTTCCACACTTAACTCCTCTCTTCTACGGCCATTGTACAGCCAGTGATGACATAACTTCTATGTATGTGTGATGGAGTTGCATTACACCTGGCTCCACTGTTGGCATCTTACAATTTTCAACTTCAGTTCTGTTTTTACAGCCAGGCAACCAGTATGTGAGGCCCACACCAATTCCTAACAAAAACTGTGAGTTGATTTTTATTGACTGCTGGAGGAACATCATGTAGTAATGACCATAGTTTTACACACACATTTTTCATTATGAATTGAAGACTGTTTCTAAAGAACTGTAGTTGAATCAATACATAACTATACTTAATATATGCAAAAGGGAACTTTGTCAATTTTTTACTACATAGGTCAACTATATCAACATAATCTTGATCTCCTGTTTGTTTCATTAAAATGTTTTAGGCTGAAAGCTAATAAACTGTGAACATATATAAAATATATATATATAAATAATATGAAGATTTACACATTACAGAAAAACAATATAGCTTTAATTATTTCTAGAATATCTTTAAAGATTTCTGTGCATGCTATTGTGCTGGAATGTAAATGTATTGTAACTATATTTAACTGTTATAGTTTTACTTTTCAAGATTGAAGAAAAAGGGAAATAAGGAGGAAAATTATAACTTTATGACAGAAAATGGGATCGGTTATCTGTGGCAGGGATTTGGCACCATGTCTAAATAATGTTTGAAAATGATTTTATGTATCTTAATTTTGATTCCTATCAGTGGGAGAAAACAGTGCCTTTATCTAACATAGACATGTGCTGATATAAAATAAACTACTGGTAGCAGAATGTGCTAAAATATACTTTGAGTTCTTTACCTTGGCTCTCAAGATCGCCCTGGGAGTTTACTGTACAAGCACTTACTTAATCACTTGCTCCCACCCTGCATCTCATAGTGAAATGTTCCATACCCATTCAATATGTTTAGAAGCCCAAGCATTACCATGAGGGAATTGTGGGTGGTAAATGTGCTACAACATTGTGTAATTTATGGTATTTCTGTAACATTGATGGGGCTTGAACTTTATGGTGCTTATAGTTATGTACCATGCTTGCATTATCATTTTCTAGTACAGATTAAGATAAACAATAAGACAAAAAAGTACTGTAAACCTATAACAATCAAAATGATTTTTTATTGTCCACACATAATGGATGAGAATTGATTATGATGGGATGGGGTATCTTGGTTAAATGTATATCATTGCCTTTTGCATCTATTGTTTGATTGAATAAGTCTCTGGGCATTCAGTTTTATATTTACAGAATATCCAGAGTATCACAAATTAGTCTTTTGGGCTTTTTTTTTATGAGTTTACAGATACCAAAATTTGTGCTCTTATATTTTGAAAGAGTCAAGGCCGGAAGAGAGAGAAAATATCAGCAAAGTCAGAAATCTGGCCTTCTACATTTATTTTATACATTCCAATCCTTCAGTAAAACATCCTTCCTCACCTATCATTTTATTGGGACCCGATAAAAGCTGTTTTTATATTAAGGTGCATGAACTCAAAATCAGGGATGTAATATAAATATATGTTGTTTTTACTTCTTTAGCTAGCCTTAAGCCTCTTTGTTCTGTGTACAGGGAGCTGTTAAACTTTGGCAATAACTCCTGTCAAATAAACTGGTTGTGTATTTTCGATAGATTCTTTAAGATTTATAGTCAGGATGTAGTGGGCATAAGACAAGGAGATGGAAAACAGTACAATTATGTTTTGTAGTGAGGGACCCCAAGCTAAATTATAGTTCATTAAGTACCAAAGTCCTAAAACTCTGGAAGGATTATGGCTCTTGACTATTTAATGGGTGATTACGATCCACCCTTTAAATAATTACCAGTTTGATCATCTGGACCAGTCAGGCTTTTATAATTGTATTTGTCAAACCCTCTAAGTTTCAGTCTACCTAGACCCTTGTTAAGATTTGGTTAGACATGAAGAAGTTGAGTAAGGCTAACCATAGACTACTCTATTTTTTTCGTTCAACCCGCGGGCTGAATGAACAAAATAGAGCAGATTCCTCCATCAACACTACGGGTGTGTCGATTGAGGAATTCCCGCTGTTTGCACTGTATTCTGACAGTGGCTGCCAGCTACTAATCCAGGAAAGACGGCCAAAAGGGTGCCGACAGCAGCGGCAGTTCCTCAAGAAAAGGCTGAAATTCGCACAATTTTGGGCACTCTAAGACAGAGTTTTTCATATCGCCCGGATACTCTGGTAGCAAGATCTTTCTACCTGAGCTCCCATGTGTGCCCAACTGCTGTGGGAATGCCTCACTCCTTCTGTAACAGTATTATTATTACAGTGTTTCGACTAGTAACTTCTAAAAGTTTTTTACAGTAATAAATACTTTGTGATTACATTTTAATTGCCAGTATGTGTCAGGTGCTGATGCTTACAGGCCTATAGTCCTATAAATCAAGTACCCAAACTGAAGGCTGCTCCGGAAACCTAACCCTGGCCCCAATGACCTAACTAATTGTCAACCCAATACTGGCCCTTAACAGTACATTTATCTATATTTAATATATATTCACATATTGGGCATAGACCCATTCATATGTCATTGCCCTCCAAAGGGATGCACAATCTAAAACCCACAGGACATTCATACACACAGTAGGACGTGGTTGGCAGCCAGTTAACCTACCATTATGTTTTGGATTGTCAGAAGAACAGAAGAAACTGGGTCACCCAGAGGACAATTATGCAAACACACAGAGAGCAAACAAACTTCATGCACAGGGCATCTTTCTCTGGTGGGATTCCTGCTGAAAATGTAAAGAAGCCTTAAAAAATCTATCAGCAATGCAGTACAAGAAATTGCTACCAAAATGCCTGTAACAAATTGTCTGCATTGTAGACATCTGTTTTCCTTTTAGAGTATGCAACAGGATGAGTGAGACTCCTATGATGTGTTTAGTAAGACTCTTTGACAGGGCAGCAGAGCCAGCTGAGAGTTAAGCTCACTTGAGTGCCCTATAACTGATATACCATCTAGGGGCGGCAGACCATATAGTAACAAGAGATTAGCACCTATGTAGTGTATGCCCAGCCAAAACATTTTTTCTTATTTCTGAATTGAGGGGGAAGTATTAAAACCTCTGTCAGGTTTTACTGCTGTCCAGGACTCCATTAGAGAGATTTCCTGTCACTTCCTCTTCTGCTGACAATGGTATCACTAGACAAAAAGTGAGGAAAAATCTGCAAGAATTACACAAAAATATAGATCTGTCAGGGGTTGTAGCCTTCTCCTATTCTACTAAAGAAATCATGTATTTCTTGAGAATTACCCTCACTACCTATCTTGTGAATCAGTTGTCA